GTTTGTGGACAGTCTACCTGTTTCAAGACAAGCCCAGATGCCAAATGCCAGTGATTTGTTGAATCACCGTCACGGGGTGGGCAGTCATTCCTATGACCTGAAACAAGCTCATGCTTTACATGTGGCTTTCAGAAAGTCTCTTGGTGTAGCTGCATCAGCTAAGCAGCAAAATCGCATCCCTGCATCATCCCATTTGCAATCTTCGTAAAATCAGAATTTGCACTTTTACTCAGATACCTCCAAATTCCAAATACTTGGATGGGACGACTTTCAAACAATTTGAGGAAATTCATGAGCAGCTCTTGCTTTGCTTTCCACATGTCGTATTCGCAGGCGATCTCACTCTCTTGTTGGTCCACCAACCCGGTCAGACCGGTCGGCAGGTGTCCGCTGTTGACTGTGAACGTTCCTCATGTGGATCAATATCCACTTGCCTAGCGGTCGATCCACATGCCTTTGGGCCTCAGAGAGTTCCCGCATCAGCGATTTGCTGCTGACTGCAGGGCATCAGTTGGGTGTTTGCATTGGCAGCTTCATCACGAGCAACGGTCACTTGCTACAGTCTGCGACACGCGCAGAAGAAGCCTTGAAGTGCGGAGACTCCTTGACCGCTGTAGTGCAATCGAGCAAAGTGGCCTCTTGCGATTCTGCTTTTGTTCTCATTCAAACTGATGGCAGTGTGATGGTTTTGGGAGGGAAGAAGGATTGGGTGAGACCCAAGCAGCTCCAAAATGTTCAGGAGGCAGGGTTTGCAAGTGTTATAAATATGTTTCCTTTGTTCACAAGCTGTTTCCGGCTTTAAAATAAGGACACATAGCGAATCCTGCTCTATCCTGCTCTTTCCTTCGCCCGGACCATGTGAGGTCCAATCAACTTGCGAGGCCTTTGCTGCCCTGAAACACGATGGGACAGTGGTGGCTTTTGGGAATCCCGAAGCAGGAGGTGACAGCGGGTCCCTGCAACTCGAGGCGGTGGAAGAGATCCAGGCAACTGCCAGCGCCTTTGCTGCAATCAAAACAGATGGCACAGTGCTGACCTGGGGTCAATCCAAGTGTGGCGGAGATAGCTATGGAGTCAAGGACCGTCTCACCAAAGTGAAGAAGCTTCAAAGTACCAGGAAGGCTTTTGCGGCTTTGCTGCGAAATGGAACTGTGGTGTCATGGGGTGACGATTATGTTGGAGGAGACAGCAGTAGGGTCCAAAGTCAGTTGGAAGACGTGAAAGAAATCCAAGCTTCTAATTGCGCCTTCGCAGCCATTCTTGCTAATGGTTGTGTGGTGACCTGGGGACGTCCCAATGGAGGAGGGGACAGCAGTAAGGTCACTGACATGCTGAAGAATGTGAAGGAGATTCAAGCTTCTCACATGGCCTTCGCAGCCCTGCTAGCAGATGAAACTGTCGTGACATGGGGTCATCCATGGTGGGGTGGCGACAGTTCGACGGTTTCCGACCGCTTGAGAGGTGTGAAGCAACTCCAATCTTCTGGACGCTCCTTCGCTGCTGTTCTCTCAGATGGAGGTGTTGTTACATGGGGGGACCCTGAACGTGGTGGCAACAGCAATGAGGCTTGCCTGCCTGGAAGTGGGGTTGTTGCTCTCCAAGCGTCAGAGGGTGCATTTGCAGCGTTGTTAAGCTCTGGTCGAGTGGTCACATGGGGCTTGGCAGAAGATGGTGGCTACAGTGGCGCGGTTCAAGAAGAGCTCCATGGCGTGGAACAGATCCAGGCAACTCAGCATGCCTTCGCAGCACTTCGACAAGACCGAACGGTGGTTGCTTGGGGCAATCCCATATGCGGAGGTGACTACAGCAGTGTGCGAGAAAAGCTGAGGGATGTTATCCAAATTCAGGCAAGCAGCACGGCTTTTGCAGCCCTTCTGCAAGATGGGAACGTGGTTTGTTGGGGTGGTTGCAAAAGTTTCGGCAGCTATTGGACTCAACAGCCAGCGGACGGACGAGACGATATTGGACTGAAGCGACGAAAGATGACTTCAGCTATCCGGCTGCCAGACAGAATTTTTGATGTTTGAGTGTTCATACAGCTGCTTGATTTGCTTGCAGATGTCCCAGATCACGCCTGAGACAGAGGACCTTCATAAGTCTGATGAACTTCACCTCACTGCACAGAGCCTTCCCACTCTCCTGCGACGAGGCAAATCGCGCCTTGTGCAGGCCGCAAGCAAACTCTTGAAGAGCTATTGAGTCTGCTGTAGCCATCAGATGATGGGGACGCCTCAATGCTGCAAAAAGTCCGCAGAACTGAAGCTTGCAATTTAGACGTGCCGCAAAGTTTAGTCACTGCTTCCAGGCTGACGAGGAGAATATCTTGGGCAAGATCCTGTTCCAGCAGAATCGCCACCGAGAGGCATCAGCGCTTGGCATTGGTCGCCACATCAAAGCTCCAAGACTGTTTCAATTGTTTTGTGTCTGGATGTGGTGATGGAATTGAGATCAGGTCGTTTGATCATGTTATATCTTTATTTTCATCACCAAAACGCAGATTTGCAAGTGTTCCTCCAAGTTCCAGGCAGAAAGCAGCTTTCGCGCATCACTTGCCTTGGATCCTTCCAATGCAGAGGCGAGCCCCCTTCCAAAGCTGTTTAAAACACCTCATGACAGCACGTTGGGAAGGTGGCATAGACTCAGACCTTCCTTGATTTCATAAACAACAACTATATAATAACCAGTTGGAAGCACTATCCATCCACTCGTCAGCTTGATTCGTCATTCTGGGCTGCCTCAGGTGCATGGAAATCTGGCCGTTGTCCTGTCTGAGATGGGCCAAAGCGACCTGGCAGTGGTGGCATGCAGAAGGGCACAAGAAATCAAACCACAAGTCCAGGCACCAGGGAGTTGATGGCATTGAAGCTTCTGGCATTCCTTTCTTGGCAAGCAACATGCATTCGAGTGGCATTGGCAGCATACGCAATTGAGTAGTCTGAGTAGTTGGCCCATGCTGGCCCTTCTTCCAATTGCAGAAGGGCAGAATGTCGTTAGTCAATGGTTTCTTTAGGCCCACTGGCCTTGATGGCCTCAATGGCACCTCAATGGCATTGTTTTGACATCGATCCATCACCTTTCGCAGACCCAAAACTTCTTGGGGGAGTTGCTGATGGGCAGCGGCAAAATCGAAGAAGCAGAGACAGCGTTCAGGCGGAATGGACACAATGCAACACATTTGTGCATGTCAGCCGACGCACCATCCAGTCTACTGTATCTAAGAAACGCCCACATGGCTGTGCCATTCACTTCAGCTCATGTTGAAATGTTTCAAAGTCAACAGCTGAGAAGGACTCGTCTTCTGCCGAGGAAGTCCTGGGAAATGAACCAGGAGCAGCCTGAGACCAACCAGCACTTGGGCAGCCTGTTGATGCTTCGGTCAGCTTATGCCGAGGCTGGGTCTCGGTGTCAGATGGGTTTCCTTGAAGAACAAACGGGAGTGCAAAAACAGGCCACCAATTGAGAAATGTGTTATGTCCTTGGATGTCCACCTGCGAAGCCTGCAACGCTCTGCAAAACGATAAGGTTATATAAGTAATTCAAATACGAGCAAGGAACCGCAAAGACATGAAAATACGTTTTGTCTGGCGCATGGGGCGAGTTTGCATGCCTCATTATGACATGACTCCTGCTTCTGACCAGGCAAACTAGGCCAGAACGGAATGTGAGTGGAACTTTCGACTGCTGTAGCCTTTAGAGGGGATGAGCTCTCAGGCCGTGCCCTTCCTCATGAAAGCCATCAGATCTGAAGGCAGGTGTTGGACAGTATTGGAAGACAGATCCAGGAGATTTGACTCAAGAGGGATGGATATGCCACAGCTATTCAAAGCACCTTGAGACTAGTCTCGGTGTACCACGTAAGACTATACACAGTAATAGAGAGAGACTCAGAGATTGTCAGAAACCATTTCACCATGCAAGTCTACAACATTAAAGAAAAACAACGAAACATAATATCATATTGGTTAATTCTTTTGCTTCTCAAACTGCTCCAGAAGATCTAAAGGCAAACATGGCATCAGGAAACTAGGAGGTGGGATGTCAGGAAATGGAGAGGACCTGAATGCTTAGTAATTATGGAGTGGAGTGTGATGGTTTGCCACGCTTTTTGGAGTGGATTTCAAAAAGATGGATCTTGCGTCTATCGGATCCAGCACGCTTCACTATAAGCGGCTGTTTGGCTCTGTCGCGGCCCATGCGGTGTGGTCTGGCCATGCGAGACATGCCATTTGTAGTGGGTTTGAGTCCATCTACAAGACAAGAGAAACACACAGCAGGCAAGCGCCCCCTCAGTTACTTAGGGTTGCCATGTTTCAGCTTGAAAGCGCCAAAAAAGAAGGGTACCCCACCCCCCTGTGAATGTCCTGCTCAAGTCAACCTTTCTCACCCCGACTGTAAATGTCCTGCTCAACTCAATTTTTGTTCCTAATGCGTGGGCTCCACTTCTATCCTACAACCGCTAGTGTGCCTTGATCGAAACCTTGTGTATAAAGAGCCTGTCATATCGGCCCTCAATGCGAGACTTTCCCCTTTGCCTTCTATTTCTCCATGACTGACAGCAGTTCCGGTGCGCTGTCGAATTCACCCCACAACCACATTGATGTCCCCTCCCTTCTCAGGTATAAGTATAAGTATCCGGTGTTACTGTAATGCACAGTGTACAACTACGATAGGTCTTGAGCCTGAAAGAACGAGTTGGACCCAATGGGGTATGGAGCTGGCGGCTTAGAGGAACGACGAAAGGGCACCTGCAAGTCCCCTGCGCACACATGCGTATATATATATATACAATATAACGATTAATGTATATATATATATGTAATATACATAGTATGGCGACTCGGTGAATGGTTGGACGTTTCGCCACTTGATCGTGTTTGGTTTGAGAGTGACAACTACTGTACCAAATGCGCGGATTAGGTGAGTCCTCACCTTGGTCACTGTTGGGCTATGCCTTCGAGTTGGACGATCGAGATGCTGCGGCTGAACAGCTCTTCCAAGTCATGCTGAGGTGCTCCTGGCGGGTCAATTCAATGGCAAGCTACAATTCAAATTGCACAAATTATATACTTGGCAGCACACTGAAAGGCACACCGTTTCAAGGTTCTGCTTGGTTGGCGATGGTGTTGGTTAACAGACAGTTGTGTGTTTGGAGTGAACGCATAGCTGTGTATTCTCGGCAGCCCACCATGTCTTGGGCACTTTGTTGTGGTCGTATACATCCACAGTGGTGGCGTCCTAACAAGCTGAGTTCTGTTCGTAGCCCTGTTGGTGGCATGTGGCCGGCTCGGGCAATCCGTGGGGGCATCACTGTGTAATTTCTTGTGGCAACACCGGTTTGAATTGAAAGATTCTGCAGTGAAATACTGTGCTCAAGGCAAGCTTGGTTGCACAAGAGGTGTGTGTTTGGAGTGGACGCATGGCTGT